TACTACCTCTGGTCTTTAGCATAAAAGCTAGTTGACTAACTTAAGTAGATTAAGAAAATTAGTTAAGTTAGTCATTTATAATAAATTGGTACTTTCTTTCCTAAAATACCCTTGCTAATCATGTATAGTAGTTAAAACTATTATTTGACAAGACTTTTACATATATAAATACAACTATTACAAGGATTACCTTGGAAAAAATGGATAAATATGAGAAATAAAGTAGATTGGGGTCTTATATTTAAGATCAAATTAAATATCAAATTAAGTTTTATGCTAAGGACCGGAGATATATATAGTATATTGATGTAGCGTAGTGATATAGGAAACAGATATATTGATGAAATGATAACTCATCTGTTGCAGGTTGGCATGAGAAATAACATATATTTCTGCATTTAGTAATCTACCAATTCCTTCAACAGTCTTTTAGCAATTTTTCACTTCCACATTTGTTCAGTTCCTTATTATCCACTTCTCATTCACATCACTTGGGGAATGTTATATTTATATCCATACACTTCGCGCGACTCACTTTTCTTTCTTCAGTTGATACCATTTCCACTGATCGGTTGATCATAATCTCGGGCTGGTTCTTCTAATATATGCATTGCCTAATAATTTTTATTCCGAATAATGCACGCACCCTGCAGAATACCATTATATTGTTTTGAGAACAGTCATAATTAATACGGCAATATAAAATAATAATTAAAAAACTTACAAGCTATTGGTTGAGATAGTAAGCGGTCTTACCTCATAAGGAAGAGAAGGCAAGTTCGAAACCCAGAAAATGCATTTATTAGGAGAGCTTTAATCTTAACATTTCTGACCTGACAAAAATTAGTCTTGAGCCCAAACTAGTTTGAGGATACTTTGAGTATACCAAAAAATAATATAAAAAAAGAACTCTTGAACCTTGTCATTCTGAGTAGATTGAATGTGTTCAAGGATAGATCGCATAGAACCAAAATTAAGTTCAAGCCATGTTTTCCCAGCTTCTCTTTGATAACAGCATTGCTGAGTTTTCGTACGAGTTTTCATATTTTGGTATTTTTCATTTTCAATACTATCAAAAATTTCTTTCTTTAAAAGCATTATATTGTTGTCACAAGATATACAATATGCTTCTTGGACTCCACAAACTTTATAGAAAGCTTACTGATTCTTCCGAATTTAAAAAATGCACTGTCAGATGAAACTTATGCCATCTTACTCGATAAGAAACAATTTCCTTTTGACTGTATACTAATCAATTGCCATATTTTGAATACCAGTTAAGTGAAATGTACGAAAGGTATTTCCAATTGTGTTTGTAGACAATTATAATCTCTTCTTGTTCACAAGGGCCCTTTTGCAAATTGTATCTTCTCATTTCATCATCTCTATCATTTGGATGATAACTAGAAATTCTTGGCCTTATCAAACCAAGCTTACTATAGATAGCCTTTTTTTTTGTGGATGCCCAGCTCTCGAACTCGTGCCTTGCAGTTATAAGCATGGCTATAAACCACAAAAGCCCGGTGTAGCTAGCTTAGAAAGCTTTTTCAAATCCAGTTGATTCATTCCAGATCTGGATTGTTGCCATCAACTTATCTATCTTCCTCTACCTTTGCTTTTCGATCTGAATAATATCTTTCTAGTTCTATTATTTTCCCATCTGCTACCTTACCTGTAGATCTGGTTGATGCACTTTAGATCTCAATAATACCACTATTTCTCTTCTTGTTTCGGTCTGCTTGCTTCTCAATCTTTTTTTCCCGTTTGTTTGGGTAATTATTGAGCGTAGATGGCTGATATTTGTGCAAAAATGGAGGATTATGGCTGTTCCTTTTTTTCCCCCCTTGGTGGGCGGAATGTGGTGGTGTGCTGTGTGAGATGGTGGTGGATTTTTTTAGTCAAAGGGCATATAGGTCCTTTCACATTATAAATAGACATATCAATTAAAAATAATATCCCACTTCCATGGGCATACCAAACAAACATTTAATCCTATTTTCACTTCTAATTTCACTTCTAGTTTCATAAAAACTCTTCCATTGCATCAAACGGGCATGACTTTCCTTTTTGACAGATGGCTCCAATGTTTTATCTCTACATTCATGAGCTGCTTTAGAAAATTGTTATTCTGATATTGCTTTTTCCTTTTGAGAAATTTTTCCATTGTAGTAGGAATTAAGCCTAAAAATCCCAATTTTCATTTCAAAATCTAAAGAAATTATTATAATAAGATAATTAAGAAAAAAGCAAAGTAAGAAAATAAAACAAAAGGCATGTGGTCCACACTCCACGCCTTTGAATCAGAAGAAAAAAGACAAACTTTTGAAAAATAAAACAAAAGGCATGTGGTCCACACTCCACGCCTTTGAATCAGAAGAAAAAAGACGAACTTTTGAATCACTAAATGATAAAATACTTCAATAAAATATTTCTTTTCTATGTGACCCACAAACATTCACCAACTGTCAGATCACCTCCTAGTCTTGGCCCCGCCATGTTCATAGAGTGACATAGAGATGGCCCGTGATTTTGAATTAAAAAAAAACAAAAAACTGGACCGGACACTAAACCAGTCAAGATAGTGGGTTAAAGGTCAATAGGTTACATCAGATTTAAACGGGTTAAACCAGTAATAATTAAAATAATTTAATTTAATTACAAAATATTTATGTATACAATTTTTATTCTTATTTTCATTTCCTTTTATTTTCTCCATCTTTTTTTACCTTATTTCCGCACATGGCCCAATACAATTCTCTTTTCTTTATTATTTTATAGTTTACACTTTATTTCTTCCTTCTCTCTCTCACGTGACACAAGGTGACCTTTTTGGCTTTTCCTTCCTCTCTCCTCTTGAGCGGCCGGGTACTTCTTGAAAGTTGAAGCATTTTAGTTCTTCTCTTTCTCATTTAAACCCTGAAAGTCATTCCTCCTTCTTTATTTTTCTTTCTTTCTCGGACAGAGAAGATAAACAGTGACCTTTTTTTTTTTTTTGCACATCCATTATACTCTGCTATTTATCCTCCTCCTTGCCTTCCATTCTTCCACAAGCACAGGTTTGGAACGGCACACAAGAGGCTTCCAAATGGATCTTTCTTTCCATGATTTTTTTGCTTCTACCACTTCTCTCAACCATGTTCATGTCCTTTCTAGTGAACGGTGAGATAGTAAAAGTAAACACTACAAAAAAACAGCTAATTGGTGACAGAATTTGTGACGGAAATTCACGTGAGAGAGAGATTCTGTCGCTAATTGGGAAACAAATTCCGTCGCTAATTTCTGACGGAATTGCGACAGAAATTCCATCGCTAATTGTTTCGACAGATTAGCGACGGAATTTTTCCGTCACTAATATTAGCTACGGATTAGCGACGGAATTTATATCCGTCACTAAATTCTGTCACTAATCTGTCAGAAAATCCGTCCATAAATATTTAGCGACAGAATTTTTTTGGTCAGAAATTTCTGTCGCTAATTCCGTCACTAAATTGCTTGTCACAGAAGTTTTTATCACTAATTTTGTTGCTAATTCTATTTCGTCGCAATTCCGTCACTAATCCGTCACTAATTTTAAATTTTGTTATTTTAAATTATAATCTTACAAAAATTTATATAATAACAATTAAGAATATAATGATTTAACAACATTTTTAATTATAAAATAAATTGATATATTTGTGGAGTTAGTGTTAATGAAGATATCGTCATCATTCATGTCATCATTATGTATATACTGAAAATAGAAAGACAATTTCTTAGAAAACTTGTTTATATTTTGTTAAAATAAATTCCTCTTGATTATTAATAATAATTAAAAAAATATATAATAAGAATATTAATGACTTTCTTATACAAACTGATTTAAGAAAAAAATAATTTTATTATATGTAAAATATATTGAAATATATAATATATGATAGAAATTCAAAACCAAAAAATAAATTTATATGAATGCAAACTAATATTGAAGTGAATTTTGAATTTCAATCATTAAACAATAAAATTTAATCACGATATAATTAATACTCATGATATAGATTGATTTTAGTCTTCAATACAAAAACAAATAGTATATACAAAGAATTTTAAGAAAATAAATTACATTGGATATATATACAAGTAGGAGAATACTGTTTATCATAATCTATTCAAATCATTTAATTTTTTATATAGAATAATTTATTATATTTTATTATAATAGTTATTTTTTGAATAACAAGATTTTTTGACTAATTGTAAATGATTTTCTTCAAATATATAAAACACATATAGATAATATAATGTAATGTAATATAATACATATATAATTAAATTGTATATCTTATCAATGTTAATTAAAAAAATAAATTTAAAAATTATTTATAAAAAATTATTTATGATTTAAAATTCAAAATTAGTGTCGTTAGAAATTAAAATTATATTAAAAATATTTTTTTAAAAAATAAAACATTATAAAAAATAGTAAAACAAATATTTAAAAATTATTTTTTTCATTAAAATAGTTATGATTAAAATTATCATATAGTATATTTTTAGTTTTTAATAATATATATGTATATATAATTGTTTGTGTAAAATAATATTATATATATTTAATTTTACATAATAAGTCAACAGGTTCATTGCAGCTCAATTGGTAAAGCCGCACGCGCGCACAGAGGAGGTCCTAGGTTCAAGACATGGAGAAGTCACTTTGAGGAGGGAATTATGTGGTGGCAACACATGGTGCACACGTTGCAGGCAGAGATGAGGTGGCAGCGACAGTGATGACGTGGTAATTGGTAGAGGAGCCACGTGGCATTTTATTTTATTTTTTAAAAATTCGGGTTAGCGACAAAATTTTTCCGTCGCTAATTTGCGATGAAAATTTCTGTCAAGAATTAGTGACGAATTAGCGACGGAACAAATTTCGTCGCTAAATAAAAAATTCCGTTGCTAAAAGCATTTTTTTTTTTGTAGTGAAAGAAGAAGAAGGGGAGGAAAAGAAAACCGGTAACCCATCCAACCCAATGGTTTTGCCTTTTTTTTTTTGGTTTTTTACGGTTCATTCCGGTTTGATTCGAAGCTGGTTCATTCTTCAAACCAGACCGGAATGGGGCCGATTCACCGATTTTCTGGTTGAACCGGCTGGTTCGGTTTTTTTTTTCCATTGGAATTAAACCTCTCCCTATTAATTATAGTCGCTCTAGAGTGATAAATGCCTCGGTTTCTGCCATTTCCTTCATCTATATGCAACTACATAACATAACCATGGCAGCAGAAAAGTCTCAACCCTCTCATCTTCCTGTTCATCCCAAGTACCTCCACGAAGATGATGACCTATCCCCAGAGTGCAAGGACCTTATTGCTATGTTGCCCACTGAATCGGGTTGGATTAACAAATGGATCCATCAATACGATGGTTTCTGGCTCACCACAAACCAACTGCAAGGAACCCTAAATTGTCAAAAGTACTTTCAAGCTCATGACTCCGACATCATCCTTGTAACTTCACCAAAAGCCGGTACCACATGGCTCAAAGCCCTTGTTTTCACCATTCTCAACCGCAAGACCCACGATCCGAACCCACAATTAGACCCGACCCAAACATGCCACCTTCACCCTCTCCTCACTACTAATCCTCATGATCTTGTACCCTTCTTAGAGACTGTCTTGTACTTACAAACCACCATGCCTGACTTGAGCTCTTTCCCATCACCAAGGCTCTTTGCAACCCATCTGCCGTATGATTTACTACCAGAGTCTGTGAAGCAAGCAAGGTGTAAGATTGTATATTTATGTAGAAACCCGAAGGACCAATTTGTGTCGATGTGGCACTTTGCGAACAAGTTAAGACCAGAAAGTCGAGGGTTGATTGGGATTGAGGATTCGTTCGATAAATTTTGTCAGGGGAAGATAGGTTTTGGGCCATTTTGGGATCATATTTTGGGATACTACAAGGAGAGCTTAGAGAGGCCAGAGAAGACAATGTTTTTGAGCTTTGAGGAGTTGAAGGGTGAGCCATTTAAGGTTTTGAAGGACCTAGCAGAGTTTATAGGGTCTGGTTTCTCTGAGGATGAAGAGAACAACAACTTTGTGGAAAATATATTGAAGCTTTGCAGTTTTGAGAATTTGAGCAATTTGGAAGTCAATAAGAACGGAAAAGTGTGGACCGGAATAGAGACTAAAACTTACTTTAGACGAGGAGAAGTTGGAGATTCGAAGAATTTCCTTACATCTGACATGATTGAGCGTCTTAACCTTATCAGTCAGGAGAAGCTGGGCAAACATGGCTTCAAATTTTAGATCCATGAGTGTTACGTGGGCCATTCACCATATGATCTCGTCTACCAAAGACAAGGTTCGAGTAAAACTTTCTACGTTACAGTGTCCAGCTTTTCTTAATATTTTGATATTTGGGTTTCTTCTCTATGGAAAGACTCTTATTGTGTGTTATAATGTATGATGGCTTTTTTTTTTTTTTTTTGGTTTATACATAACGTATAATGGATTTTTGCATCATACGTGTTATTTAGCTCTGAATTCTTCGCTGACTGGTCATGTTCAATTTGCTCTTATGGAAGGTTTCTTATAACTTGTCGAACTGTTAAGAAAAAGGATAAGTATCAATAAATATGGACCCAAAAATAAATAGTAACCTGAGAATAAATTTTGTGTTTTGAAGTTTTTGATCCTTAAGGGTTTGTATTGGACAAAAGCAGTTCCGAAAATGTCTCTAATATTTTAGTGTATGTATAATAGTAAGATGTGTTAGAGGATTGCTTGAATTAGCCTCCTTTAGTTCCAGAAACCTTGGTATTGGAGTAGAGCTAAACTTCAAACCAATCCAATTCTGATTCCCATTTTTCTGCCGCCATAGTTACAAAGAAATCAAACAGCCAGATGATGAAGTGAAGAACTGAAGATAGTGAGCTAGATTGCCTATGTTTGAGAGAAAAGGAAATTGTTGGAGGGTTTCAGCTTGCAACAAGTCCTGACTCCTAAGGTTCTTGGGATAATACTACCTTTAGTCTTTAACATAAAAATTAGATAACTAATTTGTAAAGATGAAAAAAAATTTATTAGGTTAATTATCTATAATAAATTGTTACTGCTAATCCTAGAATACTCTTATTAGTCACATGTATTGGAATCACCTTATTGTGAAATATTTAACATACACAACTACTATATGAGATATTTTAAAAAAAATAAATAAATATAAGAGATAAAATAGATTGGGGTCTTATATCTAATAGTAAATTAGATTTTCTAGTAACTCTTATATTAATTAAGTAACGCACGTAGTATATAATAATAGCAAGTGAAGAGAACGCTGATCTGTCTAGCTACAAGACAACTCAGGGGTTTAGTACGAGAGGAAAGGAGCATCTTAAGCGGCTGTCATGTTGAAAGCAAGTGGCTTGCCAGTGGGGCTCAAGGAATCTTGTCAAAATGTGTCGTCTTTCTGATATAATATACAAATTTTGATATAAAATGCGCATTATTATTGCATGCATTACCCCATATGTATGTACCTACCAATCTACCTGCCACTAGAACGACATCTTGAGATGATTAAGTTAATTTCCAATACTACCGTTGACAGAAAGAATTCAGGGTTGAAAGAAAAAAAGGCGAAAGGAGAAGGAAAAAAAATAAATCCTACTCCGCTAGTTGAAGTTGCACAGTAACTGGAGGTTTGCACGAAAAAAAGTAGCGTAAATTATTGCATCAAACGATAGTTAGTACTGTGAGTATAGTAATAGCACACTATATATATATACACATGTTTCTTTGGGTTGTGTAACGGGCAATTGTGTAATATCTCAAATTTTATAGATTTAAGTAAAGCATGATTGAGAGGGAAATTTAGAGAAATTATAGAGATTAAAACTGTTTAAATAGAGTCTAAATAATTATAAAGTTAATTTCAGGAATTTAGGACCTATTTTCTTTAGAAATTCAAGAAAAATAGTTAGGGATTAATTTTTTACCCAAGATTTTTAGAGAAATTATTTTATGGGTTAAAGAAGCTATTGGAGGGAGAGAATTCATATAAAATTTAATGATTAATTTTTGGAAACATTTTATTTTCTTAGAGACATAGAAAAGGATCGAATTGAAGGAAAATGAAGAGGAAAGGGCGTAATGGTCATCTCACATCTCTCATCCATTTAATCTGCCCACCACCTTCTTTGCATTTTTCCTCTGTTGCTCGAAGTGAAATCAGAGAGAGAGAGCTGAGAGAGTTCGAGAGAGATCGAGAAGGGGAAAGGGAATCGGAGGAGGCAATTGGTACAGGCAAGGACGGAAATCAAGGTGAGCCTTGTGAACATCCTTCTACTCTTCTTTCTCTCATCCATTGCACTTTAGAACAGAAAATGACAGATTAAAATTCTGGGTTATGGGGGGGGGGGGGAATCAGTATCTAAATGGAATAAAGGTACTAAAGTGTAGATAGAGGCTTGATCAAGTAAGTACGGTGCTCCCTGTATTGTTGGGTTCTGTATGTGATGTTTTCGAACTCAATATTTCTGCCCTGTTCTGGTTTGTAGCGTTGGATTCTGTGGTGTGAAGAAGATGATCGATGTGGTATACATATATATAAGACGGTTTGCTCTTTCTTTTCTGTGATTTCGGTGACTGGTTTGAGAGTGTGTTGGAATCTGGAAAATTTTCCAGATTTGCTTATGAATGTGGCGTGAAACATGGGAGGGGAAGAGAGATGATTAAACCTCAGTGTAGACATAAAAGAATATTTTTGGAAGCATGGGTTGCTGTCCAAAATTGATTAAAGTGTGAAGATAGATATTGAAATCTGAAAAATTTTACAGATTAGCAAGGTTGCTGAAATTAGTGTAGAATTTGAATACTGATTTGGGAAGACTAAATCAAGATTTTGGACATTAAAATAGTGAATAGAATGATGTATATGAAGCTGGAAGTGTGGGGGAAATATCCGAAAAGACTAACGTACGATAATTTGCTTAGAAGCTTGTGTAGTATAAGTGTCATATATATGTGTGTGTAACCTTTGAAAGTATAACCACGTGAAGCACGAGGGGGAAAAAGGAGAATACCTAAATACTTATCCATGTTGTGATGGAAACAAGGAGGCTGGAATATGGAATTTAGAAGCAAAATATTGAAATTGAATCTATGACAAAAGGAAGTTTGGTTCAGCCATCTTGAGACTAATGTGTAGGAGTGTTTAAATGTTCATTGGTTAAAGAAAATGTGGAATTTTCTTGAAAGGAGGTAGCTTTCGAAAATCTGCAAAAATTTCCAGGTTTAGAGTGGAGACTACATGTGATTGAGAATAATCAAATTGATTACAAAATGAATATATATGTCTCGACCTATGAGGGAAATTGGGGGAGATGCTGGGATTTTGTAATTTGGAGCCTAAAAATGGATTCTTCAAGTCAACAAGGAAAGATAAACAAAACAAGTTGTGAAGTATAAGGGAAATACATATGTCTATATAATTGATTATAAGAAGTTTAAGTTATAATGAATATGTTATTTCTGTTATGAATATAATAATATCTTTGTGGATGTCCATATATCTCCTATTATCTCCTATATCTCTTATAATCTACAATATCTCCCATTATCTCTATATCTCACAATTATCTCATACTATTATGTAATCTGTAGATTCTATCAAAGATATAAAACTGTGCTTATAAATAGAGATCATATATAAATGGAATGAGAAATACTCTCTCTTGTTGATCCTCTCTTCTTTGCTATTATTCTTCTCTATTTCTTTTTTATTTATAACACATTATCAGCACGAATTTCTAACCAACGTACATATGATATACTTTTGGTCCTTGGCATAACTTTAGAGTATCACCTCTATGATTTTTTTCCTAAAGTATCGTTTACTCTATTCAAATGAAAATATCTCAAACATTGTATATATATGGTGTTTCGAAGTATTCGTAATCTGAGCCATTATATGGAATTGAAAAGATCTTTTGTTATTGTTTTATACATTGGGTTCTATGGCTCTAATTGGAGATTTCACTTTACATTTTAGCGCTACAATTTAATTTTGATATGGATGGTATACCTTCCGAAGTAATTGTGATGAGAGGATTCCCCCCTCTACTCCTCATTGACTTAATGTCAATATTTCGATGGAACCCAAAGTTTCAATAGATAGTAGCAGTATCCTTAAAAAGTTACCGTTTAAAATTAAATGACTAGGAGCCATATAATTTTAATTTTTCATCTCATTGAGATTAAATGGCCAGAAGCTATATAACTCTGATTCTCCATTCTTTTTAAATTAAATGGGTAGAAGCCATATGATTTTGATTTTCTATATTATGGCCAGAAGCCATACAATTTTGACTTTTTATCTTATGGCTAGAAGCCATACATATATTTAATTCTCTATTTTATTAATTGGCTTGAAGTCATATATATTCTATATTTTATCTTACTAAATAACTAAAAGTCATTTAGGTGTGGTTTTTCATTTTATGGCCAGAAGCCATATATATTTGAGTTTTTTTTCTTATTAAATGGCTAGAAGCCATATAATTTAGATTTTCTATTTTATGGCCAGAAGCCACATATATATATTTAATTTTTCTTTATATGGCCAGAAGCCACACACACATATATATATTTTATTTTTTTTTTTATTAAATGGCTAGCAACTATATAATTTTGGTTTTCTGTCTTATTGCCAGAAGTCATATGTATTTGATTTTTTTTTTGTTATCTTATTAAATGGCTAAAAGTCATATAATTTGAATTTTCTATTTTATGATTAGAAGCCATATATATTTAATTTTTCTATATCTTATTAAATAGCTCGTAACCATATAACTTTGGTTTTCTATCTTATGGCCAAAAGTCATATATCTTTGATTTTTTGTTATTTTATTAAATGGCTAGAAACCATATAATTTTAAATTTCTATCTTATGGCCAGAAGTCATATATCTTTAATTTTTTTATTTTTAAATTAAATAGCTAGACACCATGTATCTTTGATTCCTTTTTTTTTTTAATTAAATGGCCTGAAATCATATAGTTTTGATTATGAAGAAGATCATTATATAATTTGTTTATAAAAGAAAAATTACAAAAATTAGAATTATAAATAATGTAACTCAGAAAACTAATGACTATATAGTGAATGATGTGTAATGTGTTGGTACTAGAGTTTACTTTTTCTCCTTATTTCATAATACATTTAATATTTTACATTTAATTAATTTAGAATTTAAATTTTATTCTTGTCTTATTCTCATATATTCTTGACATTCAATTTAATATCATAATTTTCCATTACTAAATAGCTAGCAGCCACTATACTTATGTTATTGAATGACATGAAAACAATAACTTATGATATTTTTAAAGCCCCAAAGGCTTATAATTTAAATATTAAGTGACACAAATGATCTTTAAAAAATATATATCTACTGTATAAAATCTTGAAGACTAA